TATGTCTATTGAAATCCTATACTGACATTGCAGATAGGCTAACGCAACCAAAAATTGACTGCTGCAACCAATTAAAAATGCTATGCCATATTTTACCATCTAATTTGCTGCAGCAGCCAATCTTTTTTTCAGTGTAGCTAAATTGATTTTAGTTTTTTGTTACATGCAAATAGATCATACTTGCGATTTACGTCAGATAAGTGAAAATTGGAAGCTATAACCGCGGAACGCGCGCGCGCGTCTCCACTTATTTAGGAGTCCCTCAGCTCTCAGCGAACGGAAACAATATCTCGATTTCATGATCTCCAGAATCTACTGTGAGACTATCTCACGCACTGATTTCTATAGCCATGTTTGTACGCCAGTGAACCGTGTACGCGTGTCCGTGTGTACCTAAATAAAGTACACTATGGCCTGAATTGTTACAGTGTTACAGCCATAATTACCAGTACACGCAATGCGGTTGGAAACCGTGATGGAAAGTCTACCGAAAACCGTCGACCCACATAACGCGGGTATCTCATACGATCCGAAGTGTGCACTCATGGCTAATTATCTCGATTAATTAAACATCAGCATTCCCGAGATTATAGCTTTAAGAAGAAGAGATCGTGTCCGTATATTTCACCTCTTATATCTGCTTCTAGCTTTTTAATAAGAGAAGTGGCACAAACGTTCTTCTTAAAAGAAGAATCATTTAATGAAATTTAAACAATTAATTAAAAAGGTTTTCATTTCAAGCATAAAAAAAGTAATTTGCAATTTATATTTACACCGAAAAAAATTTCTGGTTAAAAATGGACGAATCAGAATTTTCTAGTTAAATTTATTAGAATTCTAGTTGAGATAACCGGAATTCTGGTTGAGATATAATATTTCTGGTAAATTCTAATTAATTTAACCAGAAAATTCTGATTCGTCCGTTTTCCACTAAAATTACTATTTAATCCAACTAGACCATTTTTCTCAGTGTATAAATGAAAATATTTTAGTATCACTAATACAGTTAATATTAGAGGAAAGTTGCCGATACTGACACAGGTCTTCTAAAGTGACACCCCCTTATTTCTCAGAAACTAACTGTTGCACTTTATTAATACTAATAAAATCATGATCTGTTTAATTAATTAAAGAGAAGTACAAACTCATAATTCGTATATTTATAGCTTGTTTCTATACAAAATCAGCTAAAAACGAATTCTACGAAAATAAAATTCTTATGATTCTCTTTTGCAAATTGCGTGGTTTAAATAATAGTGACTATATTATTGATAATATTACGTCATTTTAAACGTCGTTTAAATGCTTGTAGTTTCCTAAATCAATTCTATTTATATCATTTTTTCTCTTAGTCTTTTCATAATACGATTTTAAATTTAAAATTGGGGTGCAGCGTAAACCGCCACACCTGTCTGTAAAACAGACATGAGCCAATTTAATCTTTATAATGGTGCTTTATAGTGTTAAATAAGTCTATTGGAGCTGAAGGCAATCATGCATATGTGGAAAAATTCTTGAAAAACTTTCGCATTAGGTATTTGTATCTTGCAGAACAGCATAAAATAAATATGCATATAATTCAATAAAAATGTTTTATAACGAAGTGAAAAGATTCTAGAAAATCTTATATACATTCATTTGTAGGTACTTTATACAGATAATGCTTGTAAAATAAAAAGGAATATGAATACGTAACATTACTGCCTACTGTATCAGTTTTGGAGCCCATTTTGTCAGACGCTCATTTTTGCTTACCTTACGAAAAAATTAATTATTGCAAACAGTATTATAAAAACTGCTTACACTATTTGATAGAAGACATTTTTTCAGTTTATATTTACGTTTTTAAAGTTTTATTTTTACCTTTTGTTTAAGAAATATTGTCTAAAAACAAAGTGGTATGTCGGTATCGGCGACTTTCCTCTACTTGCGTATTACATTGACCAAACAGAACGTAGGTGGAAAGTATTTTCGTTGCCATATTCGACAGATAATATGTAACGTTCAATCATAAGAAAATTAGACAACAACTGAATGCCGATAGTACTTTTACTACTTCGTTATAAGTGATGATGGGCATTATCTGGCCATAAAACTTCATCGAGGAATGCAGAATATAAGCGCGCGCGAGGTCAGCTGTTAGACTTTTCAATATTCCATCGCGCGAAGCAATCGCTACACCTCTCCTCTCGCTTCCCTTTCCCACTCCCCGCGGATGGAGGAAGACGAAGAAAGGTAGGAAGATCCAATTGAAATTGCAAATCAATTGAATCACCGTGCGAGGAAGCGTCGAAGAGCGCGCTCCTATGCGCTCGTTAAAATCTCCTGGCGTGACTCCACGATTTCGCCGAGATAGGTACAGCCTTATTGTTAGTGGCGCACGCCGTTAATGAAAATCTCGGCAACTCGCGATACGATTATGTATTCGACATATATATTCGTCGTGTCCGATCAAAGTGAACGGATTGACGAGGATTGAACCCTCACCTTTCCGCCTCGCGATTGCTAGGACCTCGGATACGTTAATGTGGAAACGCGCGAAGGAAGTAACGACGCAAAACGCTTTTGCTTTTTATTAAAGGAAATGAAAGGAAACACGCGCGCGCGTCTTGAGAAGTCTGAATAAAGATACTTATATATTTAGCAAAAGAAAAAGAAAGAAGGAGAGGAAAAGATGGAGAAGGCATAAATAGATACAGAAGACTTTGTACTTTGTATTGAAATAGATTGTACTGCGCACTGAACCAAAGCTGTACGGAAATACAATAAAATATTCATTGAAAAAATAATGAAAATTGGTCCAATAAATTCTCATAATATGATTTAGGTTATAAAACTATTACTAGAATTCATTGCAAGACTGAATATATAGTTATATAAATTAATCCAGTTATTGTACCAATAAATTAATTACATTAAGTCGGACATTAAGTCGTACATTGATTAATGATCATTCATTGAACCAAAAATGACCAAAATTTTTTTCAGTGTGGCATAGCGGAAATTTAATGCAGTAAGTAACTGTTCAGTTACTCGTATTTAATTAATTTAAAAGTTAAACGAATATTTGAAGGGAGAACGATAATTCATCACAAAATTTGTATTTAAAAATCAAAAGAGATTTCAAGTTTATCAGAATTTAGGTCAAAAGGATATCCGGCGGTTCCGGTATATTTCTCTCAATTGCTCAAATAAATGCTAGGATACTTGAACAAAAATACAGTCCATTATTATTACTTTTTCCAGAAATCCGAGAAAGAGAGCTCTTGAGTAATGTTTCACTGCTCGACATAAATCGGACGCTTTCAATGTTTGTAATCTAATCGAGTAATAATTCGTCCATTGAGGAAAGTAAAACATTATTCTCGTATGTAATACGAGTGGAAGCAGTGGTTTTATGCGCACACATGATAGAAAACTATGCTACCGCAGTTAAAATATGACGAAATACAACGCAATGTGCTGCGTCATTTTGCAACAAAGTATTTTATTTCACAAAAGAATTATTTATTTGGCACGAAAATATGGAAAAACTGCTATCTTTAGTAATAAAGTTAAATCGTTCTGTTGATAAAACTATTACCAGTACGCATGAATAATTAATAATTTTATTAATAACAATTAAATTGTACATTTAAATTGATCCTTTTTTTTATTACGTTACACTTTCGTTATATCACGCACGCGATTCTTCATCAAAGTAAATATATGGTAATTTTATTAATAATTCTTTTAATATAAAGAACGAAGAAATATATGCACAGTTGTTTCATGCTTATGCAATCGCATTTTCGTGGATCGCTTGTCAGTGGGTCAAACGTTTTCCTCGAAAATAAAATGCATATGGAACATTTTAACTCTATATGTGAGCTTTTAATTCACGGTTCAACGACAGGGAACCTGATTTTGCATAACAAGAAAGACTCGCCGGTACGGTGAAAGCAACAAGTGATTAACAACCCTGCCGTTACCACTTTTTCGAAGGCTGTCGATCCGCTCTATAGAATCCGAAGAATTTTCTAAATGCGTTTTCGTTTTGGAAAGCACCGTGACAATTTCCAGCATGCTGTATAATTAGACACGCACACGATACTCTCATCACGTGTAAACAATTTTTCCATTTTTGACTAATACCGTTACTCCGAAAACTATGCGGACTTAAATAGATCTTTGAATATCAAATGAAGATATTTTTCTTATTTTCTTCGAATGTAAAATGAAGAATTTTTTATTTTATTAATTAAACATATTCTTATATAGCATAGAAAATTACTCAACAAGCTTCTCGCCAGTTTATAGATAAATATCAAAGAAAAAGTAATCTAACAGAAAACATAAAAACTGTTTAAGTTAATGCTCATCCTCGGTCGAACGCAGAGACCATATCCAACATTGCGGATTGAAATATTGTATGAAAATTATATGGCATTGCTGAAGATGGTTTGAAGCAAGCCGAAACGTTCAAGAACTTTGTAACACGTAATGTAAAAAAGTATTGAGAATATATTATATGTATTGCGCTGTGAATGCTCTCATTGCCCGTTTATTAATATTTTATTATTAATGTTTGTTTTTTGAGAACCCTATCAAATATATATTGTTTATTTTTTAATTCGTCACATTGCATTACTTCGAAAATTGTCGGAAATAATTAATATTTTCTCCCTAATCTATAATTTTAAAAAATATTCAAGAAGAAAAAAAAACAAAATGTTATCTCTGATATTTTTCGACTTAATAAAAGGATTTGTCTTATGAGAAATTGGTTCCGACCCCAAAATTTAGCTTCGACAAAAGTGGAAGAAACAAATTTATTTTCATTCCGTCCAGAGTTTAATCGGCATCGTAGATGGACGAACCTTTGCGAGGACGTTCAAAAAATCGCGGAATACGCGTGAGGGCGAGTCGGCGCCCGCAGCGAGGACAAGAAGAGGAGAAGAAGAAAGGAAGAAAAAGAGTGAAGGCGCTGCCGCGCTCTGATCTTCGTGACAATGACTCACCGGCTGTGTATTCGCGCTGGGCCTTCAACCTTGGAAGCTGGTAGAATCACGACAACGACGCCGCTGCCTTCTCTCCATTCCGGTTCGTCGTCCTTCTCTACCGATCGCCGACCGATCGGACTTCCCGCACTTCGCGTGACAGAGAAAAGGGATATACTTCCCTTGCGTGTAGAAGAGTCGTCACCCTTGGGGATGAAAAAAAAACTCTTCTCCTAGGTGACGCGTCGTTACCGCGACGTCACCGATGCCGCCGTCGTCGTCGTCGTCGCCGTTGTCGATTCTTACCCGAAATATCTTCCCTGGCTCGCGATCGAAGCGAAGCGCCAAGTATCGCGCGACTCGCCGGAGTCCTGCCCGAACGCTGGTCACCACCGCTGACGGAGGAGCCCACCGAGGCCCCCACGAGTTTCCCTCTCCGGGGCCTCGCCGGTACCCCTCCGACAAGTTCGCAATGGCGTGAACGCGCCGGGTCCGTATCACGATAGCTTGCGTCTATCTAGCATGGATCCTCTGCGCTTTTTTGCACTTTCGTTTCTCGTTCTTGCCTCTCCTTGCGCATTCATGCTTTGTTTTACGTGCGACGGGATGTACTCAAGTTAAGGGAAGTTTTTATAGAGAGGAATGGAAGCATAACTTAAAGATAAAACTCAAATAAAAATGGAAGAAAATAAAAGTAAACAGGTAAATTCATGTAAAAGTTAACGCGAGTTAACGTAAAAGAAATAATTATTTTTATCGGGCCTTTTCGTTCTGCAGTATTTATCGAGTTGGTCGAGAAATTCATCAGAAAATTCTCTATTCATTCATCTTTATTCAACTTATTAATCATCTTTATCCTATTCAAGGATTTGCATACATCTCATTGTTAAAGCAACAGTTTATATAATTAATTAAAATTTTGATTTTTTTCTTTGTTATCACGGAACAGTTATAAGATACAATGGGTAACATTTAATTTAACTTCGTTATTTCTAATATAAATAATAAAGATATAAAATTTATTTTTTGCATCTTGCCTTCTACATCAAACTAAAGCATATTTTAAAATTTACTAAATATTAATACATATTTCTTTGAATAGTACTAAGTAAACATTTACTTACAGCAAATAAATATTTACTCAATAAGAAAATGATAGTTAAATCAAATTAATGGTTTTTCTATCAAATAAATATATGTTTACATTTAATAAATATTTACTTAAAACTATTCAAATATGTATTAAAATTTAGTATTTTTTTCAGTGTACATACTGTTATAATAGAATACATTACAATTTGTAATGTATAGCTGCTGAAACGTTACTAGTTATATTTCTTCTTTTCTGTATAAAACAAAGGAATTTCGGACGAAATATCCAAAAACATTGTAAAAGTATCAACTGATTACTGATTAGGTAAAAGTTCGATATAGAATAATGTATCTGCGCACATCGCGTTGCAAAAATGCGACATATTTTTACAATAAATACTTCGTAGATCGCGATCGGTATCTGAACAGCATCTCGCCTAGTTTACATGACGTTGAAAGGCACACATCGCGTTGCTTACGCCGATGGTCTTACTCGGGGTCGGTCCCCCTCCAGATCGCGGGCCCGCGTCGGAGAAGACATTCACCTCGAAGAGAACCAACTCCCAGCCGGATAGCCAGCCAAGTATCGTTACCTGCAGCTACGCGTTTCTCGTGTCCCAGCCTCGCTCGAGCGAGTCACTTTTACGCGCTGGTCAGTGCGCACTGCAATCCGCACGGCGGTAGCACGCTCTCGCACGTTGGTGCATTATTCACTACCGTCCGGACTACCATTTTGCGGAGTTGCGGAAGATCATAAAAAACGCGAGTGCGGGTGGGTTTCTTTGTTAAGGTGCACGGTGTTCTCCAAGTCACGGTCAAGTGCGCGACGGATGGATGAATCCGGTGACAATCCTGCGCCTTGGTGTTTTCATGTTCCTTTGGATGTTATTTATCATTTTTAATATCTTGTGAAATACTCGTAGGTTACTTCAATAATATTTAATATTGTGATACTGATTATTACGATTAATTTCAAAAATAACCCATACAGCAGATTTCATCTGTCATCTTGAGAACGTCTTTAGGACGTAAGAAGGCGTCCCTTTAGAACGTCCTTAGGACGTCTCTCGGATGTCTATGCTGTATAGAAATTAACAATTGTTATTTTGAGACAATATGCGAAGTTATGTAAATTGCAATGAAAAATATGTATTGTATTTTGAAAGAAATAATTTTAGAATCTTTACTTCTATAGAGCTCCGCAGATGTTACTTGAGGAATGTAACTGTGGGTACCGAAAGTAATATCGATTCTCAAGATGCTTCCATCTGATTGCGTTTTGGACATATCCAACGTGTTTCACTCCACCTCGGTAGTGATTGAAGGAACCTGTCTCAATAAATCCGAACCTACCGCAGTGCTTAGAGATGTATCAGCTCGCGTCCACGGCGGAGAAGTCCTGGCTATTCTAGGATCAAAGGGTTCCGGCAAACGAGCGCTTCTCGATGTTATCGGTGAATATTTCTAATCATTCTTTTCAACATTGTATTGTAGCGTTTCGCAAAATTATAAACAATGTAGCGCGTAGATTTTTAATCAAATCTTTGTAATTTAATTAATTAAATTTACCATGGCTAGTCCTTTCTATTATACACGAAAAGAACAGTTTTGTTGAAGTATCTAAAAATTTAGCTACAAAACATTCAGCTACAGATCTGAAAATAATCTGAAAATTTATTAAATTAGTAAAATAATTATGTAGACTGGGTTGCTAGAATATTAAAACTTTTTGCAGCATTGCTTGTCATGCTTAAATTTCCTACAGAATTATTTTTTATTTTATGATCCAGTAAAATTATTTTCGGATCTGTATCTATACCTAAATTTTTAATACTTCAACAATCGTTCTTTTCATGTATATTTGACATATTTTGGCGTCACGCCACAATGAAAAAGTTCTTATAGAAGTATTTCTAGTTAAATTTTATTTTAAAAAATTAAAAAACAGAGAAAAATTGATAATAATTTCTAGATTCAGCGTATTAATTAAATTTAAAATAACTAATTTCTACTAGCTGGAAGAGCCGATGGCGAGA